AGTGAAAGTGTGTACCATACCTCTCACACTGCTGTAATGTTATGTGTTTTAGTATACTGAGAACCCAATGCAATTCATTTGGGAAGAGAATCCAAACACAGAAGATCCATGAGCCTGGAGAAAAGTTTACTCTGAGCATAAAAAACCAAAATACAGTACTAGTCAACAGATAAGTCTCATGATATAACTAAAGACTGGAGAGGCTGAATTTACCTTCTTTAATGGAAAGCTGCACCCTTTTCAAGAATATTTCTGATGGGTGGAACCAGACATGAATTTATGAAAAAACATAGAAACAGAGCAAGTCAGAAGGGATCTCCTGGGCCATCTAGTCTGACCTCCGGCACCAGCCGGTTCCACTCACGACATGCCCACCATGTGGATGTCCAGCCTATTATGAAAAAAGCATTACATTGGTGAAAATACTTGCCATCTGTGACAAGACATGAAGTTGCTGTCCCTATTCAACCTGATTGAGCTACAGCAATTTTACCAAAAAGAACAGGTAAACACTTTAGGATACAGATATGCAAAGAGACTTACCCAAAAAGGTATGTAGCAGTAATTACCAGACTGGTATAGTGGTTATGAGAATGGGACTGGAACTCAGGTGATCTGGGTTCTAGTCCCTGCTCAGCCATGGAGTCAGCTGGATGACTTTAGGCACGTCACTCTAAGCCCAACCTACCTCACAGGGTTGCTGTTCTAGGGATAAGAGAGAAGCAGTAGGAGAATAATAGAAGCTGTTTTGAGTTCATTAAAAAGAAAAAAAGGAGAATATAAATCTAATAAATAAATTGTTACCAAACGTGCCTCTTTGGCTTGGGATGGGGAATGAGGAGTTATACAATCAACAAGTGCCAGTTTGTTTTTGTTTACCTAAGTTTTGTTCCACAATAAAAATATTTTATACCTTCACAGTGCTGAGTATCTTGTGTTTATCTAGTAATAACAGTATCAATTCCAGGTTGTGGGAAATATCACCTGAAAAATATTAATTACAACTTGGCCTACTACTATTGGTACTACAATTGGTATCTATTCATTTTTACTAATGAACCTATGAAATCTTTTTCCCCCATGGAAAATTTTCTATCCTACATCACTGTGGCTAGGAGCAACAGTCTTAAGCCAGACACATTGAACTAACACTGAGCAATTTTTGTCTCAAATAACTGGACACAGTGTATTGAAGAAGACTGGGTACAGCAATGCAGGAACAGATCTGGGTGCTCATATTCCCCAACCACACCTTGCCAGCTGCCTAAAATTATTTATATTTATTAGGAATGTCAGGCAACATGCTCTTTAAAAGGATGCATTCTCTTATATGTTTCACCAAAAGGGGGGGGGGGGACTGTGAGGATATCTGAAACAAAACAAACTGGTATACAATGGTGTTTCCTACTAGAGTAACCTCTCAGGACAATTTACTGCATTTTAGAAAATGTAATAAAATGTTCCTCTAACAAATAACCTTCAAAACCTAATTAGCTATATTGTATGGGGGGAATCTAATTCTGCATGCACTGTCCCTGTTCTTACACCTAAGAAATCATGTTCAATAAAATTAATGCCATGAAATACTTGCCTCTGGAAAGCAATATTTAGTATATATCTGTGCCAATACAAACAGCTTCAGTTCTAAAATAGATGTTATATTAAATATACGAATCTTATCAAACACTATATGATGCAATTTTATTCTCATCAGTAAATATTTTGATTGGTTAATTTGTTTTTGAATTAACTACTTTTTCTACACACCTTTTAAAATACTTCCTTGTAGCAAATTTGTTCTAAAACAAGCCTGAAGGATACTCATAGAACCATGATGTGCCTCAGGCCCTTAAGAGTACAATAAAGTATGTAAAATATGTAAGTCCAGTAATTAGGATGGTAGTTATCTCTCATGCAACATGAGTCAGCTCCCAAAGTCAAGTTTGATGTTCCATACAAATCATCGCCATGGAAATTCCCACATAAGAACAGTCCATTAAGATATCTGAGAAAATGATTTTATTTTGCTTTGTACTACTGTATCTTAGGTACAAGATAAGTAAATCCATCCAAATCAAAGCTGAAAAATCAAAAGACTGAAAAGTACAAAAAAGAGTGGATTCTAGCATCTTGGTGGTATCATGCTTGGCAGAAAAAAAAAATCTCACAATTCTGCTTTTCCTCCATCCATACATTCTTGACACAAGATAAGAACAGCAAAAGATTGGTCTCCCTTTCCAAAGTTTCTCTTCCCAAACAAATTAGGAGACAATTTAATTCACTCAGTACCTAGTGGTCAAATTTCCCTAAGCACATACTTGTTGGTTTCCTTTAACATTCATAAAGTCTGCCATACCAACCTTTCTGTAACACTATAAACATATTTGTATGTTCTTCAAAGTAGACTGTCTCTTTATCAAGCTCATACGCAATGCCATGGTTTGTTGCTACACAACCAAGGCTCAGCTTCACGTATTCCCTTTTCTTTTACAGGTCCTTTCATTTATGAACACCTGAAGAATGTTTACAATTTTCCTACAAACCAGCAAATAATTTGTTAAGGAGTGCATAGAAAAGGAGGAAGGAGCACACATGCACAGGGCTTTTTCCCCTTATTCCAAATTATGGCTTACTGTGAACCAGCCTAGTATGCTGAGGAGGAGTTGGATTGTATTTCTGGATTCACCCTGCATTAGACACAACATTGACATTCAATTCCTAACAACAGAAGATGAAATCCAACAGCATCAGTCCACTAACACAGGATACCCCCCTCCTGTGCACCACCAAAATCTACTTTAGCAGATTGGCAGACCATGTGGGGGTTCAGAGGAAGGAAAGGAAGTGGAATTCTGCTTGTACACTGTTAGAGAAAACACAAAGAGAAAACAAAAGTATATATACTGAAGAGGAACAAATAGACTTCTTAGCTGCACTATAACAGTACACCAATGAAGTCAAAGCAAATCCTACCAAAATCTCTGTATTTATTGTCCTATTTTATACACTACCCTAACATATTTCAAAAATCACTCTCCATCAAGGAATCATAAAAAATCTCAGGGCAGAGTTTCCCTCTTTCAGACAATATTGTTCTGTTCCATAATTGTTTATTTGAGAGTAGTAATTTTAAGTATAAAATAAAATGCCCTATATTCTGCACCAAATAAGCCAAATGTAAGATATATTGGCACAGAAACCTATACTACTGCTCCCAAAAAACAGTATAATTTATAATGTGCATTATAAAAATATGCATAAACATTTAACTCTCATCTTGCAAAAACATAGAATAGTTTTCTATGTGGCAGTATTTCAACTAACAGAAGAAAAGGGTCTCTCAAAATTGTAGTACTTCCATTAATGATTCTATACACCAGAAAACTAAATTAAGCAAACCTTGCATAATATGATTACTAACATCTAAGGGGGGAAGAGTAAAATTATGAAAGTGTTTACACATTCCATGTATAAATAGAGATGGATAATCAACTTTATTGAGATAGGCATATGACCTTTAATAAGGAGAGCTGAAAATTCAGAATTAAAATATTAGTAACTAAGAAGATGAAACTAAAACATTTTCTTTCACCCTAACTTCTTGCATTCCAGCAAAGGAATATATGGTTTGGTTATTTTAAATGAGTAACACAGCAATCCCATGGACCCTGGACAGTGTCTAAGGAGGGCATAAATTCTTCAGATTCCCAGATCCCAGAGAAGAGCTATGTCCTCAGAGCTGGGACCTGCACTTAGATTATCATATCCTAGATTATCCTCTCCTTCTTCTTCAAGGTCATAAAAACAACCTCAGTGAAGGAGGAAAGAAAGCTAAGGAGGGGAGGAGTCTGGGACCAGGAAACAGACAAGATATCCTTGTGGTATCTCCTTCCTTTCTCATACACAGCACCCCAACAGTCAAAAACGGCCATCAAGCTGACTTGGGAAAGTGAGGGTGGAGAAGCAAAGATGTGAACATTACCTACATGCTTTTCCCACTCTGCTTAGGATGCCCATAATTCTCCAAGTTCAGAGGTTTATAGATACCTCCACTGGATTTTACCTTAATATAGTACTCAAAAGCTACATCCACTTCTAGTATAAGCTTGCTTTTGAATATGGATTTCAGATACTTCACTAGCTCTTGAAATATCAATGCATCACATTTGTTCACTCTAAAATGCTTAATCTAAAAGAGTCTGCCCATATCTGTCAGATACCCTTTATTTACTTTATCATTGGGGTTCATGAGGAAGAGATCCCGAAGCACGCAATTGGCCAATGCAACATGTTTAAATTACTTAAATGCCACAATACTGCATGCAATTCATTAAATTACATAAGATTTTAAGAGTCAAACTTTCAACACGTTTTTCAATTCTTAAATAAAGGCCAAAATGCCCAAATTGGTTCTTGACTCCCTCTACTGGAAATCTTCCAATTTATGAATACCTTGAAGGAAAATTGAAAGCTTACAATCTAGAATTCCAGTAAATGGCTCCAACCAATTAATACTGTATGTTCAGAACTTACCATTCAGTTTGCAACTATTAAATTTAATATCCTTAAAAAAGATCTAGTGGGGCTGCCATGGAGTTAAAACTGAAGTGTTGAGAACCAAAAATGATAGAAAGCTATATAAAAATATTTTAAGTAGACACAGAGAATAAAACATTAATTAAAAAATTAACCCATTTTAATAGGGACTAAGTTTATATTGAGAACAAAATCCACAGATCAAAACAGAGGCTCATTTTTTCACCATACTTTAACCTAAAAATATATTAGCTGCAGATTTTAACAAAAACATATCCAGAAATCACTGCATTCTCAAAGGAAAACTACATCAAGACAGATTTAGAAAAATTGACCTCATGTTAACCTGAAGCACTAATTATTTTGACAACTTTCAGCCCATTTCAGCAAATGAAGGAAGCAAAATTATCAAATGGCTTCATGCTGATACTTAAAAGATTTGCAAATCAAAAACTGCTTTGTACCTTTGAAGGTTCATCTTCCTTCTCTTCATCAGACATAAACCTGCTGCTTCTACAAGAATCATTGTCTGATATTTCTAAAGGAACCTCAGTTTTTGATCCATTACACTGTTCAACATCATCCTCATAATTGCTATCGTCCTCCCAATCAATGAACTGTGGTTCGCCTTAATGGAAGAAGAAAAAATAGAATTACTAGGAGCAGCAAAATGCTAACATCCCCACAAAACTTTATCAAGAAAACAGTAAGTACCATATTTAATCAATGGTTAATCTAGTACAGCAGCTTGTTCACACAATGACCAAGCAGTTTTCTGTAGGAAAGCCACAGGTAGGACATGAGCACCTTCCTGCCCATGTTCCCCAGCAAATAGTATACAGAGACATAATGCATTATTTTGATCTTTCAAAGATGTCTGACCAAATACAACACTGAAGCTTACTAGTTCAATGGTTTCTTGTGAGCACTAGCGGCTGCTGAAACTGCTCCTTACATCTTACAAAATAAGGTACCTCTTAAAATGGGTAAATAAGCCACATAGAGCTAAGATTTCCAACTTCCCTACCCATGTTTGTCTTATACTGTTAAGTGTATGACCTGCAGAAATGTTTGCAACTTCTTAACTCCGTGCTACCAAATTTCTGTATATTAAGCTGCTGGAAAAAATGGTGGTAGTAATGATACTACTGATTTTGAAGAGCTCTTAATTCAACAACATAAAATAATGCAATTTTAAATGTGATAATATGTTCTTAAAAGTTTAAAATGAAAAGTGGAACAATTGCCAATCTGCAAAATTGGCAGAAAGAGCAGAAAGAGCAAATAATATTTAACAAGGCTGTAGAACACAATACAGTGATCCAATACTCTTTTTAACATGTATCTTTCAGATTTATTAAACCTATACAGAAATAGCTGACAGCATCTTTAGCAATGCAAGCTGATGTTTTCACATAAACAATAGGCAATAATCTGGAAAATAAGCATTACTTCCATTTCACTAAGAACAGCAGGAAATTACAAAAAGTTGTGCCTGACCCAGTTAGACTAGTGTAACATTTACTGAACTAATAAACAAATGCTGAAATACTCTGCTAAGGAAAGACGGCCATCTAGTGTTTCTGACAAGATCATCAACAAGATCTCATGAAGAAATTACAAAAGAGAAAAATAAGGATGTCTTCAAATATTTACCTGGTTCACACAAAACACTATGCAAGGTTGTTGCACTACATGCACAAGCAGGAACAAACCTGAGGAAAGTGAGGCTCAAGCATTGCCCTGCCCATCTCCTCTTCTCCCATACAACCAAGGCCTCCTGAGTTTACATGAAAGTTTGCTTGTCATAATGATGTAGAAAACCAGAGCCTTCCAGTTTCAAAGCAAGCCAACCTCAGCCCTAATTGCTTTGCCAGTTTAACTAACCAGAGGGATTTAACTCAAAAATTCTTATTAGAATAATAAGACATCTAAGCCAGTTCAAAGGCCACAAAAATTGTGTAAGCTTTAGGAAGACTACTAAACAGGTGGGTAGCATGTGGTCCTCCAGATGTTGCTAGACTACAATTTCCATCAGTCCTCACTGTTGCCTATGCTGGTTTGGGCTGCTGGGTGTTGGAAGTTTAACATCTGAGAGACATCAAGTTATCAATCTCTATTTTAAATCCCAAGGTTCCTTTCTTGGCTATTATGAGTAACAGCCATTTGTCCTCTTTAGATATCATGCTCCCCAAATTCAAAAAGGGACTATGCAACTCCAGTAACTTCATATGCTTGTTTCAACAGAAACTTTAAGAGGACCCGTACTTTCATCTCATGATTCTTTAGTAATTCCAGAATTTTAAGAAAATATATGGCATTTCCAAAAATATAAACCATGATTATTATGGTCTTTGCTAACATGTACAACATTTTTGGTCAATAGTAGATGGATGGAAAATTAGTTCACTGACAGATTAAGACTGAACACCAAAGTAAAGATTTCACAGTCTCTTCTCAATAACCAGGATAAAGCAGGAAAAGATGGAAGTGGAGAGTTGTAATTTGCCAAATAATGAGTGTTGAGGGCACCAAGGAAATGACAAGGTAAGCTTTAAGCCTGTGCATAACAGGATAACTGTGTTTCAAGAGGCATCACACAATGGGCAGAATGGATAGATTTAGAATATCAGAAGAAAAAGAGAGAAATGAAATCAGAGTAGGTATATTGACTTGCTTTCAGGAGAGAAGAAACATAAAGGACTTCATTTCCTCATTGGCATCAATTAATCAGAAATGCTGCAGGTATTCTATCAATCTTTGAATGTGGGTTTTGGCCTTTGTCTGGATGGGACTGAAGACCACATGCCACCATCCATTCAAAGGCCAGTATACCTAAAGTCATTTGGATAAAGGAGATAGAGAAACTGATACAACTAATAAGATCATTCTTAAGGAAGCCATAGCCTTAAACAAATGCAGGGTAAAGATCAGCAATACAATTTGTAGAATGCTGGAAACACAGTGCCTCCTTGAGGCCTGACTTAAAGAAAACAACAAACAGGGAGTGAGGCAAAGGGATCTTTTAAAACTTTTAATCATGAATTTCAACAAAAAAAGTTAAAAAGGGAAGGGAAAATATAATCTTCTTGGTTAAATTGAAATTAATCACAGAAGTGCATATGAAATATACTCACAAGTTACACTCATACTTGTTTATAAAAATATAGCAATCAATAAAAACAATTAGGCATAAGCTTTAAGAAAAGCAGACTAAATATCTATAAATGTATCTATTTGCATATGGCACCTAAATATTTACTTATTTATTTATTATTTAAAACATTTCTATGCCGCCCCCATCCCAACAAAGCCTTGGGGCGGCTCACAAATATGGGTGATACTTAGATGCTACCCATCCAGGACTTGAAATCAAGTTTAAGTCTTTAATCCATTGTGATACAGGAGGTTGTCATTTATCTTTCCAATGTTGTAATATCAGTTCTTTAGTTGTCAAAATGACATGAAGAGAGGCAATGGGACTTAAGGGACAAAAAGGAAAAGCTAGCTAAATCTCAAGGTACATTCTTCACACTTAGCTTGGCTACAAGGGGAACAGGCCACTATGCTTAGTCACAATGCATAGTGGTCATAGCAACTTCTGCCTGCCAAGCACAGATCCATGAGATTCTGAGCTTGAAGAAAGCAAAGGATGCTTCACACAGGAAAAACTTTTCACGCAGGGCTTGCAAGGTAGTGTAACACCTGCCCCTTAAGGGCTTGGGATATAAGCTAGGAGGTATTGATCTGAGAAAAGAGAAAGTGAAATACAACCTTGACATAACTGTAACTGCTGGGAGAGAAGGAAAAGAAGAAACGGTTGGAGGAGGCAGCAGCAGAGAGAAATGGAGAAGATAAGAAGAAAGTACAAGGAAAGTAACCATGTGGTAAAGAAGGGAGAGGAGCAGATAGAGCAGTGTTCAAGCCAGAAAAAAGAAGAGAGAAGCCAGAAACTAGGAAATGCAACTGTTCTGATCTAGTCACAGTAACACTGTGCTTTATCACACACTGGCCACATCTATTCCTATTTGGTTTATATAGTTTTATTATTTTATTAGAATTGTCATCTATCAAATTCCTAAACTTATATAACTGTTAAATATTTATCTGTCTGCAAAACAGAAAACCTCTCCCCTAGAAATAAGGTGTTTGGTAACAGCAAGGAAACAGGGACTGCAAGGTATGGATCACAAGGAATGGATACTAAAGCTAGGCAAACCCCAGGCAGATATTGGAGCAGTACAACCATATCCATACTGAGTCCTATGATCAGAAGTACATGTAACTATCCCTGGATCCGGTGACACTTAGATACTTCAAACTTGGAGGGGAAAAAAAGGCATGACTTTGGACAGACTTTGGAGTTCACCAGAGATCTATGGGGATTAACAGTGCCCATAAGAACACCACACTTGATCAGAACAAGGTTCCATGTAGATCAGCATTCTGTTCACAAAGTGGCCAACCACAAGCTGGAAATTGTTGCTTTTGAATTCCCAGAGAATTAAATTTTCTATGATTTTTTTTCAATTTTTATAGAAAAAATAATCTTGATCTAGTGCGTAGAAGACACATGTAAAGTCTCACCTTCATTATATCCATCCTTAAAGATCAAATCATATTTTCTATATTTCTCCTTTTTTAGATGAGGAAGCTCTGAAGTCTTATTTTCATCATCTGAGATGTCACTCCCACTGGAGCTCCATACTATGTCAGTGAATTCACTTGTGCTCTCGCTTTTAGATTTTCCTGTGGAACAGAATATGTAAATGTCTAACACAGTACAACATCAGAGTGTTCCAGAAGCAACATGTTCCCTACAGTTGTGTTACAATACATATGCCACCATGTTAAAATGCCAAAATTCAACATGAATCCCACCTTTAAACAATGTTTAAAACTTAATCACTAACTGCTCCAAATCTATGAAATTACCTTTTAAAACTGATATGAAAGGAAATGGAGAATGCACTACTATGGTCCCAAACAGTGTTTGAGGGAGCAGAATACCTCAGATTCCCATATACGAGGCTGGAGACAATGCTCCAGTCTTGAAGGAAATCAGAGCTCTGACCTCCTTCACTCTCGCAGCTGGTGCAGGGTGAGTAGATGGGGAAGTGAAGGTCCCATCCATCACTCCTCCCTGCAGAGACTGGGTCCACTCCTCTTATAAAGAGCCTTCAAGGGGTATGAAATCAGATAGATCCTGATTCAGACAAAAAGGAAGAGCCAAAATCAAAATGCCAAGGCCAATGGATCAAGAGGTAGGTCAGGAAGCCACTGAGAATCGGCAATTTCAAATTCTGTGGAAAGTTTAGTGTGCATACTAATGGAGAGGGAGACAGACTCAGCATCATTAATCAAATGGCAATGGGGAGAGAGCATACCAGTTGAGATGTTTCAAACACTCCAAGGGATTGGCCCTGAAACAAGAGAACTCATCTTGAAAGTGTGGTTTTCTCTTCTTAGTTTGGAAGAAAGGAGGGATAGTCAGTATGGAATCAACCACATTTCCCTCATAGCCAGTACTCTAACTTTGCTTGCTTCTCTTCTTACTTACATCTGAAACACCCTTTTTTGTTTTACAAAGTCACCGTAGTTGGTCAGCTTTAACACAAAAAAAGCTTTTAATAAGAAAGCTTTTTCCTGGTTTGCTTAGGAGGGGTAGAAGAACAGCCATGCACTATGCCTCCACAGGATGCTCATAAGCTTGTGAGTTCAGGATCATATGATCATCCTAACAGGATTGTACCTGTACTTGAACAAATGCCTAAAACTAGCCCCACTCAAAACAACAAGCAAATATGGCATTTTTAGAGCAGCAAAATCCCAGTAATTATTATCACCACTATTTTTCAATGTCCTAGTAGCACTTCAACTCCCATTTAAGAAATGTGTGAAACAAGATTTGGATTATTTAACACAAACCAATTTATGATAACCTCTTCCTAGGTTTGCACATTCCTCCATCTTTCTCCAGCAACACCATAAGGCGCTTGGAAACTTTTTTTTTAATTAACCACAATTTACCATGTGATCTGAACCATCAACATTGGTTACTCTTAAACCTGATTTGTTGAAACAAATCAGATTCAATTGTTTAAAACAAAGAAAAAATAGAGTTGTTGTGACATGTTATCCAGATCCAAGGGCTATAGTTAGAAATAACAGAAACAAATGCAAACTCCTCTTCACAATGTTATCAGCAGAGGGAGCCAAGGTGGAGTGCATGATGCTGGAGCATAGGGGAGAAGCTAGATTCATTCCCATTTTGATAAAACATGATTTATCATTACATCCTAGCAGAGCCACTAGACATTTTATTTTTACATTAAGACTCAACCATTTAAGATTATGATGTTTACTATTAGAATAGGTTGTTCCCTACACAACAGAAAAATATTAACTATCTATATTGTTACTTTGAGAGAGAAAAGTGGTTCATATACATTGCTACAATGTAATAATCCAATATTATTCCTATATTGAAGGTGGAGCACTAAAACAAAGCTTGACAAAAGCCAGCTACTAAGTTCATGTTAGAGACCAGATTTAAATCAGTGTTTACTATTTCTTACATATGCCATGCACCTGTGAGATCAAGATCTCAAAAAAAAAAAAAAAAAAAAAAAAAAAAAAAAAAAAAAAGATAAAAGCAATTCTAGAAGGCACAGCAATTTGCAGGTAATTTTGTAATTGCTGCATTAAAGAACTACAGGGCCAGTTCACAGTAATGCTGACAGACAAGCATGGACTTTTCTGTCAGTGAAGAGGACAAATCTTAGCCACATGGGCAGCATTGGACACATTTCAAACAATACGTAACATACGACTCATACACATTTAAATCTGGAAACACATCTGTCCTAGCAATATGACTTGGTTCACACAGGGCATTCTATATGCAACAAGGCCTCAGACTCATTCTCACCATGCGAAAAACAAACTCCAATAAATCCTAGTTGTGCTTGGCACATTGTCAGGTATTATTTGACATACATACACTCTCCATCATCATGTGGTTGAACATTTTAGGATCTTAAAGAGTCAATACAACAATATACGGATACAGCTCAAAATTCTATTCAAATATGCATAGTCATTCAGTTTTACTTTTGAAACTGTATCACTCCTTTTAAATTATCTGTTCCAGGAACATCTGTTCCATATCTCCAGTAACAAGGCAACTGCAAAACTTTGGACACAGCCAACATTCAATATACACTGCTCTCTCAATGTTTTTGTTTGAAGAACTGCACTGATGGTAGAACTCTTAATAAGACATCTAAAAAGATTTATTGGATATCTAAGTGCAAGCCTGAGTGTGCCAATACTGTCCCTTTCAGAATGGATGCATGTTTATGGACAGGTTCTGATGTAGATCACACATGCAGTTTTCACCTTCTTTTCCCTTAAGGTAGTAGTGTTATACCACAAGGTAACTGACAGCACAATCCTATACATGTTTATTTGAAAGTAAGCCTAACTTCATTCAGTGAAACTTACTTCATAGTGAATAAGTATAGGTCTATAATCCAAGCAAACTGTTCTCATTGAATATCCACATGAATCTCAAGCTTGTGAACAGGCCCACTGATTGGACTGCTCTCTCTACCATGTACTCAGAAAGTTTTGAAGTTTTAAAAAGTGTTCACCAGGTTATGTTTATCCTGATGAAGCTATGTAGAATTTATTTTACAAGGTTAGTTATAACTCAAATTAGGCTACAACTAAGAAAGAAGTTATGCAACTCTACTATACACAAAGCATTCTGAATAACACAAACAACCCCCCACCGTACTGTTAATAGGAATTGATACAATGCTAGTCATACCTTCAATTGAGCTGATAAATGATGCAATGCATTTCTTAACTCCAGTTCTTTTTTCTGAAGATCTTTCCATCTATTTTAAAGAGAAAATGAATACACAATGAATAATGAACATGAAAAATATTCATTTGCATGCATATTTACCTTAATTGAAGCATCAAAACGATATCTACTTACCTGATAGAAATAAGTCATATTGATGGACTTTACTAAGTAGACATGTACTGTATTATGCTATACATAAATTATAAGTTGCATCTACTAACAGGAGACCCCGGAAAGGCTTGCAATCATATTTTTAAAACACGTAGAGCAATATGCAACAAAAGAATTTTCATTGGCGCAACAGTGCCAAAAAAGGCAACAAAAACAGCAACATACAACAGAAGTTAGCAGAACCACAAACAGCTGCCAACACCACAAAAATTATGCTCAAATTGAACAGCTTTCACCTTCTGCCTAAATGTACTAAGAAAGGACAGTCAAACTTCCATGGGTAAATAACTCCATCTCCTTTAACTATTTGTTAAAAGCTACTGCTCATAATGACCACCTATCACCTCCAGCATCTGGGTCGCTAAGATTTGCTAAGTTCCATAGCATTTATATCCTTCTTCACATTGCCCACTGGCATCTGGTTGGTCACTATGGAAACAGAATATTGTTGCAGATAGGCCTGATTTTCTTAATATTGATAATGAGTATCTCCATTCAAGTTATTTTTCTCCATGTGTTACAATATATATGATTAAGAGAGCATTGAAACAGAAGTGTTAACAATGTATTTAATAACTCTTTATAGTATTTTAATGCCTGTGTTATAGTAAACAGCAAGGTGTGTTTACTTCTACATTTCCTCTTACAGTTTTCTTCTGTCATTTGCAATGTGTTAAAAATGCAGCAGCAGTCTTCAGGTCATGGGATGTGTGCTGTCATTTAAGTTGCTTTTGTGTAGAGGAGGGATGTAACCTTCCAGATGCTTTAGCCTATAAGTAAAACCATCCCTCACCTCTGGTTATGTTAGCTAGAGCTTATAGGGTTTTTATAGGTCAAAATTTCAGGAGGACCATAGGTTTCCCAATCTTACTTGTTATGTAACAAACAGAACTAGCAATACAATTCTAATGCCCTGACAATATTAAACACTATTTTAGAATTTGAATTGTTAAATATCTATGTCAGCAATTGCAGCAATGGGCAATGAACTTTTAGAACATTTTTTTCTTCTTTTGGATGATGGCTACATGAAAACCTGATCGGGTTAATAAGAATACTGGACTGATAAACAAGAAGGCAGCACTCTAAATCTGTGTGAAATGTTTTGCTTATGGCTGCAATTACCAAGAGCAAAAAGTATGGTTACTGGTTATAGGTTTTAGTTAAGAAATTTTACACTGATCAGATGCCAGGAATCTGAAATTACTTTGAACTATGAGGGTTCATATGGAGTTGGCATAACTTGAGAGGAACCATAAAAAAGAGGATGTATTCTGCATGTGGAAGAAAGTGGTAATAAGCAGGCATTAATGCAAAATGCTTCAGGCTTTTTATAAAATAGTACTTAAAATTAGTAGTGCATTCAATTCTTAGTTTAGGGATGCTTCCACAAGATGCTCACAAAGATATTTACACAAATCTCACATTATTCTTATAATAATTATAGCATTTAAAGAAAGATCATCCATTAATTAATGGATTAATCCATTAATTAATGAACAAAGGGTTCCAGCCATAGTTAGATGCAAAAGATCCTTTAAATAATGAATAAAATCTTAGCCTAACCAATTAAAATTTGCCTTTGCTAATTAACATTGGACTCCATCAGTTAGTCAAGTAAACAATCAGTTTAAAGCTTGCAGTCCTAATTACTATATATACTTCACATAAATCAGTTTATAATAAAGCATTAATAGTTTCCATGTAAGTTTCACTAACAACACTTTATTGTGAACAATCAGTTTCACAGAAGAGATTGGAAGCAAGCTATAAGATCATGTACAACACCTCTACTCACTAACATAAATTTCCCTGCTCTTTCCTCATCAGCCTTAACTATGCCTTCTGGGCTGTCTGCCTGGACTGATAACTTTTTAGTAAATATGTTTAAACATTAATAGTACTGTAACTCTGGTTAATGCTAAGGGTTTTCTTATAACCAACTAAGCTAACTAGTATGGCCGGCCAATGTTAAGAACTGGCAGACTTGGATGCTTGTATGTTTAAGTATACTTAAGGTCCTTGTATGTATGCAGTGTCGGTCAATGGATTTTTGCTAGAGAATAAATGTTTGGGACAAGGAGAAATTTCATGGCCTAGTTTTACCTCTTAACCATGGTTAAAACACTTTTCTTAGAGTCTTGTTTTATAAGCAATGGCCTGAGTCAGTGTAAGGATTAACCAAACACTGCAGTCTGGAACAGGAATCCAAACCACAGAAGTAGAAAGGTATAACCAAATATTATTAAGTAAAATTCATTGGCCTCAAGGCTACTATAGAGCATAACACAGTTGGTTAGAAGGCTTCAACCATAGCAGGAGAAATAGCTACCTATAATAATAACTTACCTCAACCTCCCTCCTTCCCCCACCACTCTGAAGCAAAGAGGAATGGTGAGTGCTCTAAGCTTCAGGTGAAACCAAGACTAGAACGGCTTCTGATCAGTCTAGAGCAAGGCTTCACTGATGAAACATCTAGACTGTCTTGGAGTCCATCTATCGGGGTATCCTTTCTCAAAGTCTAAAAATCAAAACTACCATACCTAATTGTATTAGCTAGGTATCACTTAATCTGTTTAAAGGACAAATGATTAAGCAACCAGAAATTCTGTGGCAGCCTTAGTACATATCTCCTTAACATCTCTTTGAAACCAGTATGCAGTTCTGAACTCTCCCACAAGAATATACATTTTACCTCTACTGAAGAAGCTGTCTTAAATCCATCACCACAACGAAGCCATGCACCTGAAACTGAAGCTGCAGTCATAGCTGCCTCAGCACTTTTATTCCCTTCTTCTACACACCTCTCATCTGGAAAAGATGCAAGTTCTGTCCACCATTTTCGCTTTCTCTACAAAGAAAAATATCATTTATTTCATTAATGCATTTTTGTAGCTTAATGCAGGAATGGGCAGAAAGCAGACCTCCATATGTCTAGGACTTCCATTCCTAGCATCCCTAATCATTGATCACGCTGGTAGAGGCTTCTGGGAGTTGGGGTCCAAATCATTTGGAAATCTTTCTGCTCACCCCTGATTTAATGAAGCTGTCCTGAGATCTTGTATAATAGGATGGCACACAAAAGCTTTTAATAAATAAATATAAATAAATAAAATAATGAATGTAAATATACAAAGCAAAAAAGTTCACAACTATAGAAGTAACACAAATCAGAAAGTTGTTCCAAGACTTCTAGTTTCCATCACCATTTCTGCATGCAACACTTGATCTCAAGGTAAACAATAAATAAAACTATAATTGAGATAACTCTGCATTTCAGATTCAAATACCTATTATCCGTCTTGACTCTACAAAGCTGGCTAAACTATTCAGGTGTTGGCAGTCCTCTTGCTTGCAAGAACTACCTAATTTTTTTTAACTTCACCAACTGGAGTCAGGCTGAGAACTAGTGGGGTTGAAAGAGAGATCAAACACATAGAATTATGAAATAAGGTGCCTTTTTGTTTTCAATGTCAGAACTAATTATGTGAGGTGGATATTTCCCAATGCTTTTTCCTGTTAAGAATGTTCACAGTAAAATATTCTGTTTTCTTTGTTGGTAACAATGAATGAATGTCAATCAGAATATGTAGAAAAATGGCAACTGCAAAGTTGAAGATGAGCAGCATAACATGGACAATTCTTTGGATTTATAAAGTTTATTAATGTGTCAACAGTGTGTAGGAGTTTCTTTTATTTTTCAATGTGAATAATGTATTGTGACTCCATGGTACTGTCTTTAGTTTTTTGTGTGCATTTTAATACAAAATTATATAAAGCTTAATATGTGAATCACAGTGTTTTCATTTTCCCTCGTAAATTTTTAAGTCTTAATATTTGTGCCATACTGGGAAAATGTGATGTAAATGCAAGGTAAAATATGTAAATAAGTAAAATAAGTAGTATAACCTAGATCATTCCATGGGACAGACTTCCTGATCTTGGTGCCCTTTCCAGATGTATTGGTTGATAGCTCCCATCAAGCCCCAACCAGCATGGCCAATTGTCATCATCCAAAACATCCAGATGACCTAAACTGAGGAAAGCTTGTTGAACATCAGAAAAATCTGCTGCAAACTGAATCTTTCCTTTACAAGTTCCCCTAATAGGCAGAGGATGTTTTTCCAAATACCTGTATCACTAGATTAAAGATATGTGTTTTAACATCCGCTTTCAAAACCAAATGTGAGGGAAAGGGTGGAATCAAATCTCAAGCACACACATTCCACAGTTTTTGAAAACAACACAGTACATTTCTTGTATTCCCAAGAAACAGTCCACTGGGAATGGCAATATCCTGACAAAAGCCTCTCCTGCAGATTGTAATAAGCAGATAGTTTCATAACCAGACAGGGAGCCCCCTTAGAGAGACAAGTACAAAGCTGTTTTGAGCCTTGAAGGGCAAAACCAAAACCTCAAACTGAGCCAAGAAAGCAAATTGCTACCAGTATGGGAATTCCAATAAAGGTGCAATGTGGTCTTGATACCCCGCAAGGCTTTTAAATTTCAGTTTCTTCATTGCTGATGTTAAAGTGGTGTGATTCTACTGCAGTCCTGATTTTTGTTTCCTTAATGGTCAGCTGCAGTCCCACTTTTGCACTTTCTTAATTCACTTTCATGAGGAGTCAAAGGCTGTGTTATAGTCTATAATGCTTAGATCTTCTGAAATTCTTTGCTGCCCTCCAGTAGCCAATGTATACTCAGGTACCAATCTCAGGTACCTTTTTCATTTTGAATTCAGCTTGAATATCAAAGATTTCCTCCTTCATATTAAGTAAAATTCTCTGATACAACACTTTGAGCATCACTTTACTTTTCATAATTGCTGCACTTAGCATCTCCTTTTTGGGGGGGACTAGAATGTGTATTGAGCTGTAGGCCATTGTTTTGTTTTCCATAGTTGTTGCCATAGTCTATTTATGATTCGGACTGATTCAGTCTCTGAAATTTGGAATAGTTCTACATTCCTAATTTTTCACAGGTAGCACAATCCCTTTCAGAATAGATTGAATAGTTCTCTTATTACAGCTTGTACGAGTTCCCCCTCAATTTGTTCAACCTCATCCAGCCCCTTCTAGGGTATTAGCTGCTTCCTTGATATTAAGCCTTAGGAAGGAGGAATAGAACTGTGGATCATTAACGCATTGGTGGCACCTTACTCCAAATCTCTGGATTACTTCTCCCAGAGATTTCATATAGTTTGAGATTTGTCATCTGTGTTCTTCACAGATTAAACTGAGCCTAATACCACATTAATACTTAGTACAGACAACGTGCCCAAGCAAGCTTTATCATAGAACACATAGCCTTGCCTCCCAAACCTTCATAAGTATATGGTCATTTCAAATTAAAACAGAGAACAGCCACTGAAATGCATCGATTCCTTCTAAGGATTGCGTGACCACACTGAATTTCTCAAGAGCATACTGGATTATATTAACACCTAAATGATTAGTTGAGTTTCTCCACGCTATATAAAATAAAGTCATGCGCTCTCCACCGTTAGATCATTTCTTTCTCCCTATACACACCTAAGACACGTTAGGCTCCACTCCCACTCAAAATAGCAGCCATCAGATTTCAATTTGAGCCAGGATATTTCCGCACTCTGGGTGGCCTTAAACTAGTGCCCCTCCCACCCACGCCAGTATCTGGGATACGTCAGAAGAAACTCGAGAACCTTAACTGCAAACATTAACTCTCTCCCTGCGCCGATACTACGCTCACAAGTGCTACACACTCCACGCGTTCCCCCGAGCCCACTGCGGTACCTTCCTGACAGGCATCTCTCTTCCTCTCAGGACAGGCCTTCCACTTGTCACGTGCGTGTAGAAAAGACCTCTGGCTTGCGGGAGGGGAGGGGAGAAAATTAAAGCAGACAAGCCCCCAGCCAGCAAGAAAAAAAAGGTTTAGCTGCAGCATTCAAGCCACGCCCCAGCCCTTCCAGCTTGGCGCCGTTTCATCGGCTAAGCCTTTGATTGGGGGAAAGGCAGCAAAGCCTGTGTGACGCAAGTAAAAGAGGCCGATGGGCGTTGTTCCTTGCTCAGTACCGCCTCAAGGGGGCTTCCTTGCGTTAAAGGATGCAGGCTGTCTTCGGTGCTGCGCATGCGTTTTTCGTGAGTGCGTTTCTGAGCTACAGTTAATGGGCCTTTTGTCGCTGTGTTCGATGGAGGCAGTAGCATCGCCTTAGAGACGTCAGTATCGAGTGCTTTGATGAGTTCAGTTGTATGTAGGTTCTTTCCCTGCTCGAGGGTAGTTCTGTGTGGCAGGTGCTCCTGACTCTTCTATCCTAAAGCAATGTGTATGCATTTAGTAGGTGAATGAAACTTCACGTGTGTCATTAGGATTTCTCACTGGGTGATATTGCGCCAGTTATTATCTCTCAGCCTTGCCTACCTTACAGGTGACTTGATCTCGGTAAGGCATGAACCTATTAAAAGCAATTGTTACTTATGTAAAGTGGGGTGCTACTAGATGAGACCTCGTTTACCCAGGCTGGCGAGGGAAGTGTATGCCCAGCATTTACTTGTAACACTCTTGGATTTTCCCATCACCTCTTCTCTCCCTGTTTAACTGAAAGCCTATTAAGAAATAAAAGATGCAACGACTACGTAATGGCTTCTACTGCTAGTGCTAGAAACCTTCTATCCGGAAACAAGTTTAATGTTGCTTTTCCATTACAAAACAGCTGAAGTTATTATTCTGTAATTTTATGTATACTTACCTGAGAGTAAGCCTCACTGAACAAAGTAGGCTTTACTTTGTAAATATGCATAGGATAGTGCTGTAAATTAGAATTACAGCATCAACATAACCAATGGCACAGTTAAAATGATTACTGTATTTCAGATTATTTGAATGCTTCATGCTGCTTCTTTGAGTTTCCCAAAGTATTTGAAAATACCAGGGTGACTTCTTTTCTTTTATAGCTTTTCTTTTATAACTTTTTATACCGTTTATATTTCTTATTTATTTTATATTATTAATTTTAATTTTATATTGTTATTTTTGTATTGTATTGTAAGCCGCCCCGAGGCTTCGGCAAGGGGCGGTATAGAAATGTTCTAATAACAACAACAACAACAACCCAGACTTGAAAATCACTACATGACATTTGAAATCAGGAAATCATCATTTTCCTATGCTTCTCAACTTATTTTAAAAAATGGGAAATTGGCACAGACATTAATACTATTTTAAAAATGATTGTGCCATTCAAGATGATAATCTAGAGGAAGTCAGTGTTGAATATGCTCAACATATTGAATTGAATATGCAATCCTACTCTCAGTTGTAGCATCGGCTCTATTTTGCTGTAGTTTATTTTATACTTTTACTACTTTATCATTTTACGGTACTTTTATGTTTGACCTGTGGTTACAATAATAAACTTATTTACTTACTAAATATGCAATCTTGAACCTATCAATATGGTTGTAAATATCACTGGGCATAATCCAGCAACACAATTTTAAATTCCACTGATTTAAGCAACAGAATCCCCTTGTTAATGTGGTGTGGGGGGCTTGAGAGAGCCGGGGGGGGAGGGGGGGAGAGAGAGCAAGCAATGCCACCAGGAGGCCACTCTCTGACCTAGCAAATCAGTCTCACACAAGGTAGAATGGTCAAAGCAGAGACACCAGAGTAAGATGCATCCACCCTCTTCAGGAGAAATGGGCACATCAGTGGAAGCAAATTGATATCTCTGATGTTGGCAAGAGAAACTTCTGAAGGACAGCTACTGCACAGCAGCAGTGATAGCTGAAGGTTACACTGATAAGCTTCTTTCACAGACAGTGGGAGTGAAAAGCAAGCTAACTCTGGTTGATACTGTTCAGAGGAAGGGAATGGTAAACCATTTCTGAGTAATACATGCCCTTGTTATAAAACAATCCAACATTAAAGAAATAATAGGTCTTTATTTTATGGCTTACAGAGGGACTGAAAAAGCCTGACCTTATACAAATTATAGGACAGATGGGAAACCTAAAACCCAGTTGCTTGAGGGAAACTCCAAAGGAGGAAAGAACCAGATTGAGGGCATCTTAGTTAAGGCAATTTGGTACACAAGCAGGCATTGGGTTCTCCCTGTCCATTAAAAGAACTAGGTATGCATGCCAAAATAGGCAGGAAGTGGCCCAGTGGAACAGCTTAGAACCTTCTTCCCAAGGCAGCAATTCTTCCTGGCCCAAAAGGCGAGGCTGAAGGCTCATCACAGAAGCCTCAACTTCTCCCACACATCCCTCCCTTGGCAACAACTCAGCACTCCAGATTTCCTGCCCCCTTCACTGCTCCATTGACACAGTCTGTGCTGCACCAGATCCTAACATGGTGGCAGCAATGTACTGAAGAGCAGAGGAGGAAAAATCTGGGCAGAGGGACTGTGGACTGCTGTTCACAAATAGAAAGGTCTCATGAGGGACAGTTCAGCAGAAAGGACCTTTGCCCCATCAACATGTTCATAGGTGAGGGAAAGAGGAGAGGAGTAGATTCTTTGTGGAGACTGGATGAAGGGAACTATGGGGCCCTCCTGAATTGGAGGGAAGGAGCAAGCAAGTCTGTTGATGTGATATAGGCAGAGTGCCTTAGCAAACTTGAGGAGGTGGCCAGGGTGGGAGACAGAGAGCCCCCCCTCCTCGAGAGTTTCCTGAAGCATGCAACACAAACCAGTCTTTCATTAAGTAAGAATAATCATAGAGCCTGCTCCCATTCTCTTTGCCTCCAATTCAAGGGTATGTTTCTGTGATGTTCTTCCATGTGTACCATGTGTTACCATTCTTGATCAATGAAGGTGAGAGTTTTCAGCCCTGTAAGGTGTCCAGGGAGTTGGCTGCTCAGTCATAAAGAGGGAAGATTTAAATGGCAAAAAGTGGAAGAATAATAGACACAGTGGAAAAAGAGGAGGAACTAAATGAGTGAAAGCAGTACTCTACTTCAATTATGAAGTCAAACAGAGCTAATTCATACAGCCTTGACAACATATCAGCCAGATTTTCAATGGCTCACAGCCAAGATGGAGACTCACAGGATCTCTACTAGCAGTAACTAGCCTGATAATTGTAGCAATGTCTGTTTGGTCATAATAAATAAATTTGTTAATGTCTTGCAGCTCTCAAACATCTGACATTTACCGTATGTGCCTCTTCCATTGTGCAACTTTGGCCACCCCTGAAAGTGAACATGGAATGCAAGACGGATGAATCAAGGCAAGCTGGAAACAGTAAAGCAAGATATGGAATGCTTAAACATCACAATATTTGGGATGAAATAACTAAAGTGGACTGGAATAGGGCACATTCAGTCAAATGCTAAATGTTTTACTCCAGAAATGCAAAACTCAGAAGAAATGGACTGACTCTTGTATTGAAGCAAGGTGTTCAGGCAGTAAGGAGCTATAATGCAAAATCTAACCAAATAATATCAGAGTTTGTAGAAAATCTATCAAAGTAGCCATCATTCAGTGGAGGAAGCAAAAAAGATCATTAAGTGTAAAGGATGTTTCACTGGAGATGGACAGGATCATCCGCACTGGTGTATTCCCTGTCACTATGTATGGGTGTGAAAGCTGGACTGTGAAAACAGCTGACAGGAAAAAAATGGAGGAGAGCTTAATGAATACTACTGACTGACAGAAAGATAAACAAGTGGGTCCTAAATCAAATGAAGCAGGATTTTCGCTGAAAGGAAAAAAAAGTTTCTTCTGTGGGATTAGTCTAGAAGACTGTTCAGAAGATTCATTTTGTGCATTTTGCAGTAACTGGTACAGGGTATCAAGATCACATTACAACTTCATTGAAATTCCTGTACTGGTTGCAAGTTGCTATCTCAGCCCAATTCAAGTTGTTGGTGTTATCTTTAATTCTCCAAACAGTTTAGTGCCTGTCTCTCAGTTCAAATTAAGTTCCCTGTTGAAATTAAAAAGAACTGTCTGTAGAAGCAGCAATAACAAAACCAAGGGTATTGTACTTTAGGCACATCATGAGAAAAACAAGACTCACTGAAGAGTTCAATTATACTAGGGAAAGTCAGAGGTGCAAGAAGAGGAGGTAGACCAAATAGAAGATGGATTGGCAGCATAAAGGAAATTACAGCCTCAAATTTACAAAAGCTGAGCTGGGCTGTGAAGAATGGAACATTTTGGAGAGCTTTCATTCATGGGGTTGCCATAAATCAGAGACAACATGATGGTACAAAAACAACAGAGTTAATAACAAACTGGATATGACATTGCATGTGAAGGGTCAGGAATGGAGCTTGAGATTAATAAACATATGATCAAAGAACACCTAATTTCTTTGAATGAGTTCAGATCTCCAGGGCTGTGCATGTAGGCAGGTAGGGATGCTCTAGTGTCAAGGGTTTTCTACTCTAAATCCTTTCTCCTGAAGTCATGTTTTTGAAATGTAAATACACCTGTATTAATTGACTTAGATGATGATAGCAGGCCTGTCCAGACATTCAGAAGAATATATGAAGACTTAAGTGAAAGGATGAGGCTGTACATACCCATATAACCCAACCCTCTCAGTTCAGGTCCTAGTGTTAATCTAGCAAAATCTGAATAGTTTTATTTGCATTTGCTTGAACAGGATGAGAACACCCATATCTTTGAGCCATCAGTTGCAGCAGGACCTTATGAAATTGAGAGTTTGGTGAGCCAGAATGATTGCCCTCTGCTCAAAACTGCTCCAGCATAGGCTATGAAAGAGCGAGGAACTCAAGCACAGTCAATAAGAGATACCTGAAAAGCAAGGAAGTTACTAGCATGAAATGCAGGACAGGGATTCTCTTTTATTCTTGTTAATCTTTTTTTTTTTTGGTAAATAATAAACAGAAAGGAAAACATGGAATCTGTTTCCATAGATTTGGGGTTTTCTTAAAGTTCAATAGATGAGAGGTACTTGCTTAGAAAAATAAAGGATACTTGGAGTTGAGTTTGCCCTCTGGAGAGCAGAAGAGCAGCAGGCTACCTGCAGCCATCAGCCAGAGGACCTAGGACCAGTGGGAGGCTGGAGGAATAAATTCAACTCGAATTCTTAGGCTCCATTCATCAGCTCACACAACAAGAGCCACCAACTGCTATTCAAACAGGTTGTCAGCAAGGAAAGAACAACCTGTTCTGCTGTGTATTTATTTATATCTCCACTTATAATTCACTGTCTTTCAATGAAAATGCTTGAAAATTAATCTCCCATGTGTTTGTTTTCCTTCTGTTCCCATTATTTTCCATATTTTGTCAATTTAGTTTGTAAACATTATGATGGGGCATAGCTCCTTTTTACTCATGTCAGCCAATTTAGGAAGAATATCTGAAAAACAGAATAAAAATGGGGCAAATAAAAATATAAATTAAAAACATCATGACAGATGAGAGGTAAATATGCTATTCTGACTGAATGTAATGATAACAGAAACCCTGTTCAGACATTCAGGAGAATATGTGAGAGGTTAAAACATATAAAGGGTGGGGGGAAATGCTGTACACCTTGGCCCTGTCTCTTCACTTAAGACCTTGCAGTGTCAGCCCAGCACAGTGCTCCTCATGTTTGCTTGAATGTAAGCAGAAGGCTTAGCAGAGTTGGGACCTTGCCTTAGCAGTGAGCTCACAGACCCTGCCTGGGCTCCTGTAGGGTAACAAGAAACCCAGCACGTCTCAAGATGTTCTGCAAAACTAGGAGAGCTTTCAAAAGGGGACAGAGCTTTCAAACAGTAAGACAAAGAAAGTTTGTCCAAGGGATAGCATCCTCCATGCGAAAGGCATGGTAAGGATTCAGTACAATTTCTGGATGACATTGATTCCTCTGTTGAAACAGAGTTGGCATCCTCATCTCACTTTTCTACTAAATCATCGGTCGAAACTGGCGATGATTCACGGGCACGCAGCGACAAGCACTCGGAGACTGGCTGAGGGCAAGACTCGCTCAGCAGGGGACTGGGTGAAGCATCAGCTCTCCCGCCTCCTCGCTGTCGTGTCTTGTGCTTCTCCCTCTCCGCTGAAAGCGTAAAGACTACCCAACAAGGTAATCGTTTTCGGGGACAAAAACCCCGCGCTCTCAGCTGCTGCCCTCCTCGCTCTCTGCCCCTTTGGAAAGTGACGGTCTGGGCGCGCGCGCGCGCGCGCAGGCAATGGCAGCCTGCAAGTCTGCTGCTCGGCTGTTTGGTTCAGTTACTGTCTCGGCGCCCGGGGCGATCCCTGGGATGGAAGGAAGGAAATTCGTCTAGTTTACCTTCAAGTCGTTTAGGAATTTCAAGGCTGCCGCAGCAGCGTTTGATGTTTGGGGAAAGTGACTGAAGTGTTTCTTCTCTTTCAAGCTGATTCAGAGTCATAACAGGTAGTAGTAGCTAGGAAGTCAATAGATAGCTGGCCTATATAAATAGCAGTCCCATAAATCCACCGAATGCTAATGAACTGCCCACCTCTTAGATTCATTCAAACTCGTCTCCATTCTTGAAAAGATTTTTTGATGGGTCTTCCATTTGGAAGACCATGTCTTTCCATCCATGTAGCAGTCATTTTCCTCTTCTCCCTATTGTTAGGGATGCAACAATGAAAATCCTACGCACACTAACTTCGAAAAGAATACTTTGAACGAATGGAACTTCAAAGAAAAAAAATGCAGTGCTTCTAGCTACAAAGAGATCTGCCAGATTATATACCTGACACTTTATATGTTGAAGCTGCTTGTGAGCATGCACACATTTTGTATTTGGTTCACACTAAAGAAAGCCTGTGGGGGATTTGCTGGCCAAAGCACAGGAATGAAAATAAGCATTCATGGGTCTGGTCATGTGTTAGAGCAAAGCAGTTCTCAAGCAAGATTCTCAGGGTACAGGAGGTTTAAGCTTTTGGCTAATAATAGTAATAGTATTCCATTGCATGTTTCTACAAGGAAAAATTCCTAACAAAATGGCAGAACCATTACTATATAGGGACCTAGATTTAACTATCAACATGTTTTATTATGGTATAACACACATACCATATATTCTCATCCAGTATGCAGGAAAAAGAACAGGATGATTTGCAGGCAATATGTATTGGCAGGCAATATCATACTAAATCAGTATGAGGAGCCCCAGCCAATGTTTTTTCTTCTCTGTGTGAATTGATATAGAGGAAGGCGTGTTTCCAAGCAGACAAATAGATAAGAAATTTCAGTCTTGCTCCTCATGGAACATCATAAATATGTTGCCACTGGGAGAATAACTAGTCTGTGACTGCCTTCAACAGCTTGTGTGTATTTTCAAACTGTGCTACAGGTACAGACCTGACCACAAAGTTCCCCTAAGAATGAAGCACATTTTTTTAGTTTTGAAGAATGTTTAAAAATACAAATAACCAAATATTTTGGGTATAAATGGGTTTGTTCTGACTCCAAATAGTTTAACAATGGGGTGGAGTGGGGAAAGGGTCTATGTGCTTAATTCTTGGCAGTGTTGGCAGGGACAAAAGGTGGCACTGGCCAAACACCAGCCTAGAAAGGTAGGCTGTTAACATCTCTTTTGACTAACTCGGACTGAGCCAGGAGAATATCAGACTTTATAAGAAGCGCTTAAGTCTTATACAACAAGTGGCATCCTCTCTTTCAAATCTCTAAGCTTGAGACCTTCAACTGTAGCAATAGCCAAGAGCAAAGCTTTGGAGCTGGAGTTACTACCAAGGCTCAACTAAATGAATGCAGTATTTCTATTATGATAGGTGGTAAGTTAATTTACAAAAAGAGAAAAAGGGCTACCATAAAGCAAACAGAGCAATATTTGGAAACAGTACTTATCAAAGCAAAATAATAGAACTGGCTAAAACCTGCCTATTAATAACAAAGAATGGGCCTTCAGTAGGACAAGGTCAAACAGAACCAATTGAAACCCAAGATGAAAAAGAGCCAATGGGCAACTGAACCTCACCCCTGCTTCATATCTTCAAACCATTCACAAAACTAACAGCTAGGAGTATGAACACCTACTATTATTTTTTTTACCAGACTCCAATAAAATACACTGTAGCTCCTGAAAGCCTGAAATCCACCTACCCCGTATTGATTCCAATGAGTGACTGGTAAATGCAAATTCATATAGCAATATATAGCATTTACAAATTGTTTGTAAAGGTATCAGAAGGCACAATACGTTCCAGCTATAGAACTATGGTTTTTAGGGAACAGTGTGTTTGAGTTTGGCTCTAGTTGCTTGTTCACATCTCAGCTCACTGGATAGACTTAGGACATTTGTTACATCTAGCTTTAAATAAATTTAAAAGTTTTAAATAAATAAGAGAGGGAGGATTTCCAGAACCAAGGTCAGAGAAAGTGCTCCACCCTTGAAGCAGAGCCCCTTCTCTCCTGCCCTTTGCAGCTGCAATGGGAAGAGCCATGCTGGCTGCCCTCCAAGGTCAGAAAAGCAGCCATGGAGAAGGGGTTTTTCAGGGAAGGAAAGAAACCAGACAGGGCAAGGTAGGAGCTATTCTGATATTTCTGCAGCCTCCTTCCCTCCCCGCACTCTCAAAATGCTCAGCTAAAGAGGCAATAAAGCCCATCTGGGAGAAAATGCAGTGCAAGAGAACAGAGAGGTGATTGCAGTGTTTGATCAGAGGCTTCTGAGTTAAGGGGCTTGTGGCCATCACCACAGACTTGCGCCTTTAATAAAGATATATAGAAAAATAAACATGTTATTAGTGCTTTAAGGGTAGCTTGTTTTAAATAGCATGCATATTCATATGCCAGATATTGCTATGGAAGGGAAAGTATTTGTTTACATTCTCATTCTCTAAGAACACTCATACCCCATTAACGTTTTAACGAAAAATATTCAGAGGATGCTGTGTTGAAACATTAGCATTTGTACAAGAGAAATAAGGTGATTTACAACATCTCATTAGCCACAGACAGACATGCTATGTATGTGAGTGAAAGTAACTTGCAAAGATAAGTTTTCCATATAGCTGTTTACACAAATGCATGAACTTGTGGATTTGCTTCAAGAGTTTTAGGTGACAGACACTTAAAATTGATGTTCACAAGGTGCTTTTCTTATATATGGAGTCCATCCTATGTATGAAACTGATACTGAATGGATTCTTGCTTATTTAAGCTGCTGCTGCAAATTTTAAGGCAGTCATTATGGCCTTGTAACATTATTTATCATATCTTCCTGTGGGTTGTTTCCTCAAAAAATGTTAGGAGCTGAAATGCAAGAGACCTGCTCCACTGCAGGTATAATCAAGTTCTGCTGTAGGTGCTTTGCTACTTTGGAGTTTTTAGAGAGAAACTGTATCAGTCAAATCTTCAATGTGGAATACTGGAATATTGTGTTCAGTTCAGGTTGCCTTACTAGAAAAAGGACATTGGTGGGAGGCCCAGGACAGATAAAGTACTCCTTCACATAGTGTATTGTTAAACTATGGAATTTGCTGCCATGTGAAGTGGTGATGTCTGCCAGTCTGGATGGCTTTAAAAAGGGACTGGACAGACTCACAAGGGAGGAAGGTATCAGTGGCTACCAGCCTTGCTAGTTGTGTGCTGCCTCCTTTACCAGAAGTGGTATGACTGACTACACCAGTAACTGAAGTCTTACACTCATCCTGCTTGGGGGATCCTGTGAGCAGCTGTGTATGGAGTGCTGAACTAGATGGACCATTGGTCTGATCCAGCATGACTTGATGTTCTTATGTTCTTAGTCTGTCTGCCATCATGTGGGCATGTGCACAAGCACACAGGCACTCATGCAGTTACAGAAGATGAACATATGTAGATCAATTTTTAAAAGGCAAGCTTGTGATGATGCTTTCATTCTAATACATACCTACCCATCCCACTCTTATTCTCCACACATCCCACTATACGAAACAATATGAAAGAAGGGGTGGACATGTTTCTTCTGTGACAGGAACTACCCTTTTCTCATTGTGACAGCTTGTTTTATTGTAAGCCACCCAGAGAGCCCTATGGGCTATGGGGTGGTATATAAATGTAGTAGTAGTAGTAATAATGTAGAGAGGGGGAATGATGCAAAATGATTGACATCAGAATTCTGCACCAAGTGTTCTGAACTACTGTCCATGGCAGCTGTACATAGTGGAGCAAATAATACAAGGGATTGCCAAAGAACAGATTATTTCAGCAAGTGGTTTAACTAGCTGGAGCAGATAAAATCTACTCCTAAGCTGCTGTTGCTGCTAAAACATCAAACAGCAAAGCTGAGTAGCATACCAAGTCTATATATGTCTTTCTACCTGGAAGACTTAAGGAAATAAAGAGCCTTCAGAAACACAGAATCAGATGAGGCCAACTTGAAGATTACTTTTTTTTGTGGCACACCAAAATACCACACTGTGGTGCTGCAGCCTTTTTTTGCTCACTATTCTATTTCTATGACACAGTAACTTTTTGTCAGCATGGCATGCAACTTTCTGTTCCCAAATATATTTCTTTCCCCCTTTTAAATTATGCAGATAGTACCCTTGTGGGTTGTTCCCAATCTTCTCACCTTCACTAGATTTATGATTAATTTAATTCATTATTCTGTATTATCCTTTTATGACTGGGACTGCATTGCATCAGATAACGTTCTTTTTTTTTTTTTTTTTGATATTTCAATCATCTTTCTAAGAGTACATGACCAAACAGGGAAATAGAATGCACTGTATATCCACAGTGAGATGTGATAGGTACATGAAGCTGTAGATGGCAGAGCTACACCGGTATATTGTAGGCAACTCAGTATGCTATCCATTGTTCTGCCTCTACTCTTAAGTGCCATCAGAACTGTCATCAGTAGATCTTATTTAAAGTATCAGTTATCCAAATCCATTCTTTCAAATAGGATGGCGAGTAAGCAGATCAACAATACACTCATCTGCCATACACACACCAAAAAGAAGCTCTGTTGAAGTTCTTTTAGATTCACTGTACAGAGCCCATCAGAAGGGCAGTGGTTTGCATTATAAGTTGCTCCAGTTGGTAATTTGTTTTGCCACATGCAAACCCTTGGGAATTTGCCAATCTACTTAAATGTTTTTAATCATTATTTTAATTAGTAGTGCAGCACTCCCCCACCAAGCCACATTTGTGAAGGCTGTTGTGCCTGGGAGTTCTGGGTACCTGGAGATGGCTATTTGTGATCAGAATTTAGCATGCCTCTGTTCAGACCTCCTCTAGAGAAATGGCTTGGAAGCTATTTTAAGTGTTTTACAAGAAACATGACCAGGACAGAGAAGTGAAAATTACATTTTAAAAGCCAGTGATGCAGAAGTTCCTAAAGCAATATAAGTAGTCAAATCAAGAACAATATTTCATCATTGCAATCCACTACAAGGCTCTGAAGGACTGGTTATTGTCTGATATTGCAATATTTAATTTCTTAGCACTGCTTCATGTTTGGCATCTTTAAACAGAAAACAACTTTGTCTTCCATTCTAGCATGCAGTTGATAAGAAGTGACAATCCTGTACATGTGAGAGTTAGTGTAGGTGCATCTGGTATAGACATGCTAAAAGACCACAGCCAATCACACTTTTCAGTGTCTGCTTACAAAAATTTATACGCCCATAGGATTGTTATGTAAGAAACTGAAGATGGAAATTAAATCAAACCCCCACATAATGTAACCTCCTTATATGAAAGCTGTCACACATTCAGTGCCTTTCAGTCAGAGATGAAACTGGCATGTCTCTGTGTTTTCTGACAAGTTTATTGGGGGTTGGGGGACTTTAGAAAGAGGCCATTTGATGATAGTATAATAGGATAACTTCAAAAAAAATCCTATCCTTTCCTAGTATCAGAAGTCTGGTCAAAAGTGGAATTTTTGTTCCTGTGGCTACTTTAAAGCTAAAATACAAAAATCGGTTGACCTAATGACAGATTTCACTGCATTTCATCCATTTTCAACCCTGAGCACTAACTCTACGAGTTGAAGATTTGTGATGGGCAAACCTGAAATAGCTGAATGAGAGAATGTGCTTTTCAGTGTCCAGCAGATATTTGACCCATTGTATGTGAGATTTGCCTCTAAGGAAAAGGTTGTTAAGATAACAAACACTAAAAGGCTCAAGTCTAGATTGTTTACAGAAACTTAATTATGAAATACTTCTGAAGTACACATAATAAGAGTTACACTATTATTTCCTTTTACTTTGGGCAGGTTCCAGTCCTGGCTTGATTCCGACATAGGGTTGGGTCTTTGGTGCTTTTACCATTTTGTGTGTAGACTTTAAGTATTATTACAAGAAAATGCAACACAAAACCTGTGCATATTTTTGCCCAGTTCAAATGTAAAACCACACAGGGTTATGCAATTAAAATTTCTAGCATCATGCAATTAGAGAACTTGGGTAGATTATTGATGATGATGATGTGACCCTCTGGTTTCCTTTTAACTAGGCTTAATAATGGCCAGACATAAGAGAGCCTATCTAGCACATATGATCTGGATTGTCTGCCTCCAATCCCTTAAATGAACACAGTACTAAATATTTGGCTTGGTGAACATGGAAATAAACTTTCAAGGGCTTATTCAGATCCAGGCTTTATAGGTAAGTTTGGATCAAGCTATAGGAGTAAAGAAAAGTCAGATTGGGAAAGATGAGTAAGATGAGGGAACAGCTAGCAAAAGGACTAGAAAGAATTCACAGCAGTAAGTAGTACTAGAAACATTGGAAGCAACACCGGCCTTTTCAGGGCCAGCCTTCCAGAAACCTTCTCTTGCTTCCTTTAGTGGTGGGTAGTATATCCAGGGGAAGTATTTAGAGGCTGGGAACAAAAGTCTGTAGCAACCAAGTTATGTCATGATCTACTTTACTGATATTCAGGGCAGACCTGAGGAGAAAGCTCCTGCCAAAAGTTAACATTATAAAAATAGGAAAGCTTAAAAGGTTGTGTTGTCAGTATGGTACTACAATGACTCTGATCACATAATAAAAGTTGTAGGCACCATTTCTTTAATTAAATCAGAAAATATTATGAAACTTTTCTTAAATGGCTGCTGTTAACAATAATTATATGCCTTCTGTTTTAAACCATAGGTTGGTTCCAGTGGGAATTGGTCACACTAACTCATTAGAATTTAATGTATTATTTATTTTTAAAGTTCTCAATGAAAACACAAATACATTTCATAGCCATATAATCCAAAATTAAAAACAAAACTGTTCTGGCTAAGTTATGCTAGGATTTGTAAACCCCCTTTTAAAAACACATGCCTAGCATGGTGCCCTTAAAAACACAGCACAGTAGCGTAAATAGGCAGAGGGGGCTACTGAGAGAATAAAAAGATATTTGCTTGGCACTAGAACCAAAACAAAGTTGCGCGAGGATCCATAATGGTGGAAGGGCTACTACTGAAAAGAGAAACCACCAGCCATATCTTGGCATAGAAGGGCACTCAGGTGCTGGGGGATTATTCCTCTGTCCTTTAGCAGTAAAGCTATAGGATGCCACAGGGCTGTTTATCATCTACATGCAGCTGCTGTGGGAGGTTATTCAGAAATAAGAATGAAGGCTCCTCCAGTATACAGATGGCTTGCATCTCTCTCTCTCTCTCTCTCTTCATCAAATCCAACTGAGGCAGTGGACATTCTCAATCAGTGGCTGGGCATAGCAATGGACTTGATGAGAACCAAGAACCTGAGACTCAATGCAGACAAGATGAAGGTAGTGTTAGTGAATAGTTTGTCCATTTAAGTGACTTTTCACCTGTTTTGAAGGGGGTTGTACTCCCACTAAAAATAAGATTCATATTTTGGTGGTGCTCTTAGATCCAGCATTGTCATTAGAGGCTCAGGTGGACTTGGTACACAGAGCATTTTCTGTCAGCCTAGGGCGATATACCAACTGCATCCTTACCTGGACAAAGATAGCCTAGCTATCCATACTCTGATAACCCAGACCCTAGGATTATCTTCAGCAGCCCTTTTTCAGAGATCCCAAGAAAGGGAGTGAAATGGGCACTACTAAGGAGAGGACCTTTTCTCCTGTGGCACTTTGGTTGTGGAATGAGCCTCTCGGATTAGCTTATCAGGTCCCTGCTCTTTTGGGCACCAGCTGAAGACCTTTTTATTTTCGCAGGCATTTTAGTTTTTTAGTTCTGGTTTATATCTGGTATTACATTTTAAATTTTTGTATTGTAAATGGTTTTAATAGATGTGAACTACCCAAAGAGCTTCAGCTATAGGGTAGTATAGAAATGTAACAGACAGATAAAACATTCAAGACAGAGTAATTAAAGATATAAATTCAAGGTGGATGAATGAAGTGGAACATGAAAAATATACAAATGTCATGACAGAGCAGTAAGACGGAGGGGAAAACTGCAAAACTCAGGTAGAGCAATAAAAATTGTTCAAAACTCCCAACAGTGGAGTTTTCTTGAAGAAAAATTAAAAAAAAAATTGTGAGGCAGAGGATGCTGCGATGGGATGAGGGAGAATTATTACAGTACTAGCAAAATTGCAAGGCGTAGCAATGACTCTTGCCAGATACCTCTGTAGGTATTCCCAACAATCCATAATAAAATTGACCAGGCATATTTGGACATTACAAGAAACTACCCAATATAATCCTATTACTACCCATCATTTATCCAGGTGGTTCATTTCTAAACCAACAAACAAAAAATACATACTGAAAACCAGATTTCTAAATTCAGATGTCATGCTAAGCTTGGGGGTTAGTGTAGGGTGTCAATCAGGTTAATGTAGTCTCACTAATTATTCAGTATGGGTAGGTGAAATCAGTTGCTCCTCAAGAGCTTGTATTGTTGAATTCAAGTTCTTTAATGTTAATCTGTTTTTATTGCACTTTCAAACAGTAATAAGCAGAAAAGTGGTCATATGATCACCTCCTTTAGTAAGACTGGGATTAATCCCTCAGAAATGGAGACATGTGTAACCTTTCAGACACAGCTTATCACACACTTCCTACTAGATGTAAAGGGAAGGGTTGAGCAAGCATGTGGTTGACTGGATTTTATCAAACAGCTTCTCTGAATCTTCAGGCCTTAAAGATGGAAAGTCACTGAACAGTATTCCTTTTTTTATTTATATTGCAATTTATATCCTTTTTCCTACAAAGGGCTCAAGGCAGCTTACATCATCTCTCCTTCTCCAGCTTATCCCCACAACAACCACCCTGTGAGGTAGGTTGGGCTGAGAGTCTGTGACTGGCCCAAATGGCTGAGCAGGGACTAGAACCCAGATCCTCTGAGTCCCAGTCCCATGCTCTCAACCACTACACCACACTGGCTCTCACTCATGTGTTGTTCTTTACGCTTCTATAAATTAAAGTGCCTCAGCTCTGTAATCCTGTGACAGATACAAGTTATTTGGCCTTAATGTGTTTTGCATAATACCAAGACTTACATAAGATGTCCCACTGCACCAGAACCCAAAAGACCCTAAATCACCAGAAAAAGTTCAGGTGGATGACATGAAAGATGCCATAGCAGAATAGAAAAACTGCTTCTTTGTCTGTAACCACCTGGAACAGCTCAGTAGTGAGTTCTTATGTCTGAATTTGAGACTAGATTGTCCACCTGTGCTCCAGTTGTTCTGCAGTTTTTTTTTTGCATTGCCCTTAATTCAGAGATACACTCAGATATAATCACATTCTGTAAAATAGATATGATTCTCAGGATGATTGGTCATACTAACTTTTCCTATTATTTCAGTGAGACTAAAGCATAACTAATTTCCTCTAGATCCTATCCAGAGTATGCCAACATTTGGTAAAAATATAATCAAATCCTAATATTGACAGTAAACCATCACCTTTTCTCTTTAGTGAAATTGGTTCAACATTGGATTACCTTCTGTGAAAATATCACAGTGCTTGTACTTGAGAATGAAAACTGGAATAAGCCCTTTTGATTTATAGTCAACATAAATACGGATAGGAGGAGGATACACTGCCACAAAAAGGGACAGTGTCTATAACAATTGTGTTATTTGCCTTGTAGCTTCCAACTTCTGTAGGCACTTTCCTGTTCCTTTAGATTCCATAGATGGAAAGCATGCTTGCAGGACTTGGTCCAGTCTTTTGGAGAGTTGTTTGAGGAAATCCAGCTATCTAATCCATGGTCAATCCGTGTTCTCTCATTTTATTCCATCTGTTTGTGTGATAATGGAAAAGCTGGAAATTCTGTTATCATATACATATCCTTAAGTGTTATCTTATTAAATTTTATGTTTTCACACTAGGAAAAATATAACACAGCAGTTTATTCTTCCATGGGGATATGATATAAGCCAAGTGGTAAGTGTTTATGATTTTTAAATTAGAATTAAAGCATATTCAAGGAAAATGAAAATATTGCCTGAGGCAAGAGTATTTGCCTAGAAATTTAAATAAGAAATTGTCTCTATTATACGTTATACAGAAATGTTCTGCAGTAGATTGGGAAAAGCATACTCAAAGATTCTAGTAACAGTGAAAAGTCCACTGCCTTCTAGGGGGAAAAGAAATGCCTCCGGCAAGGATAAAAGAAGAATGTCATTTAACTTCATTGGATTTGTAGCACTCTAAAACTATTGTATCTGAAAATGTTATCACTGGAGTGACACCCCAGGTAGTATATGCTAGAATTGCTAAGTTTGGTCA